AATTCATATAACAATATACATATTTTGAATAAAGAGAAAAAAAGACACATAAAATGAAAACATAATATTATATTTTGTTACAATATGAATAGGAAACAAAAAGAAAAATAATATTTAGAACTCTTCATCTTATCAAGGAGAAATTAAAGATATAAAGAGGAGAATACAATATATTGGTGTAGAGAAAAGCAATGGTTTATATATAGGTAAGTAGGAAGATGGAAGAACATGGAGAAAGATTATTTAATATTTAATGTAATCTTTTATTTTTTTTTGTTTTTGAATATTTAAATAGTATCGTCTCTTCATCTTCCAATCCCCGATCTTTTTATCCATCCTCATGTATTTTTCTACATTTAAATATCTTAAACGCCTTAACTTTCTATCTTCTAACCTCTATATTCTCCACTTTTTAAGTTTTAATTATTACTAATTAACATGTTGCAAAAAAAAAAAAAGAAAAAAAAAGAAGAAGGAAATGGTCTTGCTTTTCATCTACCAAAGCAAGAACTAATCTTTTTAATATTAATAATTAATAATTAACATACTATTTATTAAATTATTTTTCAGTTAAAAACTTAATTAGCCTTGATTTGTAATTTGTATTATATAATTGTTATATAATGTTAGATTCTCTTTGTATTTTGATGATGAGTTAAAACCATGATTCAAAAGAGTTTAATCTATTTTTGTTCTAAGTGTGCAGGAAAATTAATCCAAGGTTTCTAATCTTTCCCCGCGATTAGAATTAATTTATGTTCTCCTTGTTCAAAGTTCTGGGTTCGAACCAATTTATTTTGGTTCAAATCAATCCCGAAGTTTTGTTTTCCGAAAATGGTTCAAACCATTATTTCTGGCTTCGAAGCAACAATTCTGGAAGGATAAATTTTGACAGCTCAACTATCCATTTATTTTTATTTTTAATGGGCCTAGAGGGAACCAATTGTCTGAGCACTTTCCAAAGTCAAGTCTAAGTTAGTAGAATAAGGTGGAACCTAATTGGGGCAATTATGAGGTGGCTTTGAAAGGCTAAATGGGCTTTAATTGCAAGGCTCCTAACCAACTATTAAATGGACATCAAAAATCAGATCTGCTTGGGGAGAAGAAGGACGAACTACTACGAAAATTGGGTTTGAAATTGTTCTGGATTTCCTTCTTCTTTTCTTCTTGTGAGCTTTTGGGTTAATTGTCTTACAAGGGTTTTGTATTCTTCTTGGCTTGGGATAATCCTTGAAGGGGTTGAGTGAGCTGAGATTCACTTGTGAGGGTTTAATCTTGCACCCGCAAGCAAGAGTTTGTTTCGATTTAATCTTGCACCCATAAGCAAGAGATTTCTAGTGGATTGAACTCTCGAGCAAGGAAGCTTGGGGAGTGGATGTAGTCCGGGTTGGAGGAACCACTATAATGTTGTACCTATGATTTTGATGATTACAAAACACATTTGAGTGACTAATTGGTTCATTTAAGTGTGTAGTTAAAATGTCAAAAGATTGCAAAATAAGTAAACTTGGACTGCACTAAAAATAGACCAAAAGGCTTGAAAATGTGCAGAGAGCCGGTTGTTAAAACTTGCAGCCGGCTGTGGAAGTGCAGAGAGTCGGCTCTAGAAGCTGCAGCCAGCTCTACAGGTAAAGATTTAAAGGATTGTTGTTTGGCGCGCGCGGAGCAAATACGCAAAGCCGGCTCCAACTTTGCAACCGGCTGTGAGGGTGCATTTAATGCACAACGATCGAGTTATTTGAAGATTATTTAATGTGTTTAAAGTTGGAATCCCAAAGTCGGCTCTAGGCTTTGCAGCCGGCTATGGAAGAAAACAGAATGTGCAGGAATCCCGCAAAGCCGGCTGCAGAATTTTTGAGCTGGCTCTACGGAGAAAACAGAGTGCAAGAAACCCGCAGAGCTGACTGCAGAAATGGTGAGCCGGCTCTACTAATAATTCTGCAACTCGAATTAAGCGACCTGCAGAGCATTAAATGACCCCCAATGGCTAGAAACAGTTATTTTCAAGCAAGGGGCTATAAATATGGGTGGTAACAGATTTGAAGAAATTTAGAGAGCATTGTATTGAATATCTGTACCTACCTACATGAGCTTTAACTAGAGATTTTTATCTTTGAGAGATCTGTGTTTGTAATCATCTTCTTGTGCTATTAGTGAGTGATCTTGGGGATGTGTTGATTCCTTCAAGAGTGATCTGTAGAGAGGATCTTTGGGGTTTAAGTGTAAAGGGGTGAGATTTGAGAGAAACACCCTTCTTCTTGTAAAGGATTGAGTGGCTCCTTTAAGCCACCATTGTTTTTGTTAGTAGAGAGTGTGGAGGAAATCCTTGGTGAGTGAAGCCAAGGTAGAGGACTAGACTCCAAGTGATTGGACCGAATCTCTATAAAATCATTGTGCAAGCTCTTCTTCTCCACTGTCTCTTTAATTTTTGTTTGGTGGTTGCAAAGAGGTGAAAATTCTCCAACTCCAATTCACCCCCCCTCTTGGAGTGCATTGAGTCAACATATAAATCATGGCTTGATATTTTCTTCCCTTTCTTTTTATTTTTTTGCACTTTATTTGCAAGATTGCAGTTGATCTTTGTTTTATTTTGCACAACAAATTATACATATATATTGAAAATTTCATTCACATTTTTATAAAGGAAAAGAAATGAGTTTTATATCTTAGGAATTAAGGGGTAGTTAGCTGGGATTACATATAATAAATAATTTATATAATAAATAATAAATATATATTATATATTATTTTATATATAAATGCATACCTATGTCTCTTCATCTTCCAATCTCGGATCTTTTTATCCATTCCCATGTCTTTTTTTACTTTTAAATATCTTAAATGCATAAACTTTCTATCTTCTTACCTCTATATTCTCTACTTTTTAAGTTTTAATTATTACTAATTAGCATGCTAAAAAAAAAAAAAGATGGAAATGGTCTTGCCTTTTCATCTACCGCCAAAGCATGAACTAATATTTTTAATATTAATAATTAACATATTATTCATTAAATTATCTTTTAGTTAAAAAATTAATTAGTCTTAATTTATTATTTGTATATAAGTATTATATAATAAATAATAAATATATACTATATATATATAAATGCATACCCTATGTCTCTTCATATCCCAATCCCAGATCTTTTTATCCATTCCCATGTCTTTTTTTAACATTTAAACATCTTAAATGCCTAAACTTTCTATCTTCTAACCTCTATATTCTCTACTTTTTAAGTTT